GACAAAGGTCAGCGGGCGGAAGTGCCCCCCACCCCCCCACCCCATCCTCCCCCCCACCCCGTCCCTTGCTCTTGCGGCCTCACCTCTCTCTCCTGCGCCCGGGGCCGGCCCAGAGTGGGTGGGCACCGCAGCAGCCGAAGGGAAGGTTTTCAAGTGCCCTGGAAGGAAAGGGGGGCAACTGGAGAGACACCCCGAGTCTGGGCTCCAGGTCAGCGGGTGCGGAGAGGGGTCAGCACCTCCCCCGGCCACAGAAGGAGCAGCCCCCTCTCTGGGGAGGCTGGAACCAGGCCAAGAGGTAGCAGCCAGAGAGAACAATCGGGGGGGGGGTCCTCCAGCACTAGCATGAAGCCCCCCCCAGGCCTGTCTGCAGTGCAGGAAAGTCCTGATTGGCTGAGGGTCCCAGCTCCTCACCTGGGGGAGGCACCGACACGCGGCTGGCCCTCCCTGGCTGTGTCCCTCGGTTCTACCAGGTTCCCCCCAAAATTAAGCCCCCGATGCGTCTTCGGGAGCAAAAATTAATATACGACCCAGTCTTATTTTCAAGGAAACACAGCAAATGCCACACAAATCCAGCGTTTTGTGTGGCTCGGGCAGCGAGGGTCAGGGTCTTGACCAGATGGACCCAGCCCACCCCACAGCAGGGGCCCCACTGCCACCCCACGGCAGGGGCCCGCAGAGGGAGGGGTCACTTACGGGAGGAGTGCCTCTTCATGGTGCCCTGCAGAAGAGAAGGGGGGGTCAAGAGCGCAAGGCTGGCGCTGCCCCTCACCCACCCTGCCCCCATGGGCAATGGCACAGGGCAGAAGGGCAGGGGTCCCTCTGGGCCCCACTCCAGGAGAAGCAGGGAAGGGAACGGGGGGGCCACCCTCATCCCCCTCCGTGCCCCCCCTCTGCTCACCCCCACGCTGGGTGGCAGGATGAGGCTGCCCACAGAGGCCTTCAGCTGCTCCGTGGCGGCCGAGGTGGCCGCGCTGCCCACCCGCTCGGGGGCCTGGATGGGCTTGATCCGGATGTAGAACTTGGGGGGGTCTTCATCGTCGTAATCCGAGTCGCTGGACGAGCAGAAGCGGCTGCTGTGTTCGCGTGGAACCGAGTCAAGGAAAGCCCCTCGGCAGCGGGGCCCGGAGGGAGGAAGACCGGGGTCCCCGGGCCCCTTGCCTAGCCCAAGCCGCCTCTTTGGGAAACCACCGGGGGGGCTTCCTTCCCCAAGGGGCTTCCGAGGTCTGCTTTGGTGCCCCCCCGACAGGAGGGAAACGGGGGTCCCTCTGCCCCCTTGCACGGTGACCGCTGCGCCTCTTGGGATTCTCCCCTCCGTAGGCTCTGAGGCCAGGCCCCACGTCTGGGCCCTCAGCCCCCCTTCCCTAGATCCACTCCCAGCCCCTCTGACGCCCCCCACAAAGATATCGTTCTGGTTCATTTCGGGCCGGACAGTGAAGCCTTCCTCGTCCACCTCGGGGGGCTGCGGAGAGACAACAGGGCTGGGGGGGATGTGGGACAGATCATCCCCAAAATCTCCCAGGGAAGGGTGGGTAGCATGAGACAAGGGGGGGCAGGGGACCCTTGGGAAGGGGGGTCCGGGCAAAGCCCACCGCTCAGCTGCACCGCCTTGGGGGGGCGTCCTCACCCCCACATCCGCCTCCGGAGACTCCCTGGGGAGAAAGAGGGAGAAAGGGTGAGTGGGGTGGGAGGGCGGCCAGCCAAGACCGATGGCGGAGGGGGCCCCCCAGCCATACTCACCCCGAGTCCTTCCCGCGTTCCTTGCGCCCGAGTCCGGGAATGCGGAAGGCTTTGCTGCGGCTGCGTTTGGGCCCTGGGGGGACAAAAGGGGGGGCTTTTCAGGAGAACAAGGGGGCCCTTGGCCAGGGGGAGCCCCCCGGGGGCACTGCCCGCTTGGTTGGGGGACACCTGAGGAGGAGGGCTGAATCCAGGGGGTCCCCCAGAAGCCGCCTCTGGGCCCCATGTCTCCATTTGGGGAGGGGGAGGGAAGGGGCACCGGGCAGCCCAAGGGTTATGTGGTTGAAATTCAGTAGGAGGTGGGCAGAAGGAATGGGGGGGGGACATACCTGCCTTTGCCATGCCCACCCCCCCAAGAGAAAGAGGGAAGGATGGTGCATTTGCCCTTCCCACAAGGGGGGGCACGAAGAGGGTGCTGGAAGGTGGCGTGTGGGCTGCAGCCCCCCCCCAGTCCAGCTTCCCTTTCCCTCACGACCATCCCTGAATAAGGAGCAGACTGACCCCCCCCTGGAGTAACAGCCTCGTGCATTGCTGGGAGGGGGGGCACAAACTAAGGCCGAGAAACTTGGTTTCTGTCCCCACTGAGCTCCTTGGACCAGTCAGCCTGGCCCACCTCACAGGGCTGGCAGGGAGCACACCTGAGTGCGTGGGGGGGGGTTGGTCCTCAGGGTCCACCTCCGCATCTGTCTCTTGCACCACAGGCTGCCCCCCCCCCGCAGCCCACAGGCACCCCAAGCCAGCCTGCTCACTCTGCCAAAGGCAGAAGCCCCCCCCCCCAAAAGCCGAGCCAGACGTACTTGCCTTCCTGGGACGAGGACATCAGACTCAGCTCCTCCACGTCCAGGGGCCCTGCGGGGGGGGGGGCAGAGAGAAGCCTGGGGTGAGGTTGGGGCCCAGACCCCCCCACAAGGCGCCCCACCCCAACCCGAGAAACAGCTCCAGCCCCCCCTTCATCACAAATGCTTCATCTCCCTCGCTCTGAGTGAGAGACGGGGGGCCCTTGGTCTCCCTGCAGGACCTACTTGGGGGCCACGCCTGGCCATCCGCCCAGCATCCACCCGTTCCCCTTCCTTTCCCCCCCTCTCTCCTGCAGGGCCCCGCCAGCAGGGCCCCGGGGCAGCTCCACAGCACCCGCAGAGGCACCAAGGGGTGCCAGGGCCCCTCACCTGGGGGGTCGCAGCCGGTGCCCTTGCTCTCCGCAAAGTTGCGCAACAGCGTCTCCACCCCGATGTTCTCCATGTTCTGCTTGAATTCCTCCTGCACCTGGAGGGGGGAGGCAGGGGGACCCTCCTGAGGCCCCCCAAAGGATTCCAGGGACCCCCCCCTCACCTGTCCGGCCCCTGCTCTGCTGGCTCCAGACAGCCCTTGGGAGGAGGCAGCAACCCCCCCCCCACCAGCCCATCTTCAGCTGCCCCTGCTGGTTCCCTTGTTCTGGGAAGACCCCCAATGAGGAGGGGGTCCCTCTGCCTGCCTCCTGCCATTGCTCGGAGGGGTGGGCAAGAAAGAAGACTGGCACAGCGGGGGGGGCAGGGACCAACGCCACCCCCCCCACCTGATGGGGGTCTGCAGAGCACTGAGGGGCCACGCCGGGAAGCTTTGCCCAGAACCGCCCTGCCCTGCGAGCCCCTCGGAGCCCAGCCACACGCCCGGCCGGGCCCTGGGCCTCACCTGCCCGATCTGGACGTGGGTGTCCTCCACCGAGTGGACGTAGGAGCCCACCAGGCCCTTCATGTGCCGCAGGTGAGACTCCTCCACCTCCTGGAACCGCTGTGGGGAGGGGGAGAAGGAGAGCTGTGGGGCCGGCAGGGGGGCAGAGCTGCCCTTCTATGGCTTGGGCAGACCTCGGGCCAAGAGGAGGCGGCCATGTCTGCGCCAGAGGGGGGGGCCAAGCCGGGCCCCCTCCAGGCCGAGTTTACGCTGGGTTGCTCTGGGGCAGGGGTAGGCCATCTTGGCTCTTTTATGACTCGTGGACTTCAACTCCCAGAATTCCTGAGCCAGCTAAGCTGGCTCAGGAATTCTGGGAGTTGAAGTCCACGAGTCATAAAAGAGCCAAGGTTGCCTACCCCTGCTGTGGGGCGCACTTGCGCCCCCAAACTCTTCGGGGGGCCCTTCCCTGCGCCTGGAGCTTTCCCCGGGTCTCGGCCAGGTGGGCCCAGCCTCCCCATCTCTCCCCTGACCTCCAATGATGGGGGGCAGGGAGCAACCAGGACCCCCCCCCAAGGGCCTTTCCTGAACAGCATAAACAGAACAGACTCAGGGGAGGGGGCAAGTAAGGGCCAGCTCTCCCAGCAGCCCCCCTGAATGGAGATGGCACTGGTCAACCACCTCTGCCAACATTGGACTGGACTTGATGCGAATCCCACCCAGCTGGGGGCATCCTGCACCCCCCCCGGCCCGGCACCCTCCCTCACCACAGCCGAGTCCAGCATCTTCTGCTCAAATTCCGCCCGGGCCGCGTTGTACTTCTCCACGGTGCGTCGCAGGGCGTCCACGGTCTTTCGGGACTTCAGTTCCGCCTAGGTGGGGGGCACACGGGGGGGCATAGTCATGGCAAGGCCCCGCCCTCTGAGGGCCTCCCCCCAACACCCTGCCCTCCTTTCCCTCCGTCCAGGGAGCCAGAGAAGCCGATCCAAAGCCGGCCACTGTGGCTCTCGACCTCAGCAACCACCCTCCCCGGGGTTCCCAGGAGGAGGAGGGCTGCAGGGCAGGACCCCCCCCCCACTGACCTTGTCCATCTCCTTCTGGCTGGCCCCTTCCCTGCGGAGCCTCTCCAGCTCCTGGCATCGGCTCTGGAAGGCCTCCCTGGCCTTGGGCAGGTGCTGGGCGGCCCCCTGGAGCTGCTGGACGGCCTCCAGCGTCCCGGCCACTTCGTCCTTCGACTGACCGGAGGAGAGAAGCAGAACTAGAGGCCCTTCTGGGACCCCAGAGAGGGCCTGGCAGCCTGAGGGCCCATTCCCTGGGGTGTGGGAGAGGCCCACAAGGGCATATGTCACCCCCCCACCCCGGTCTCTGGGGAACTCGGCCGGGGTGTGTGTGTCACCTTTCTGTGGGCTCGCAGCTGCTCCTCCCCATAGCGGCCGATCTCCTTGATGAGATCTTGCAGCTTCTTCACCAGCTCAGCGTGGCACAGCGCCAACTTGTCCGAGGAGATGCGGAAGACCTCCCAAAGGGGGGCAAAGGTCCTGGGGGGCACACGGGCAGCGCCTGAGCCCTGCCCTGACATCCTCCAGAGGGGTCTTCAGCCCCCCACCCCACTCCCCCACAGGGCCCACCTGCTCAAGCGCCAGGGCCCTCGCCCTGCAGGCTGCCCAGGAGGGCAACGGTGCCCACGGGGGGGGGGCAGAGGCTCCCTCCCCACAGGCCACCCCAGCCCCACGGCCTCCCCACCCACCTGGGCTCCAGGCAGCCCCCCTCCCCCCCGAATGGGGCAGGCCCTCACCCCAGCTGGGTGCTGTTGCCGGCCATCTTGGACATCTTGACCATGGACTTGGCGTAGGCCTCCTCGACTGCCGCCCTGGCCGGGAGAGAGACAGGAAGCCCCCGCCGTCACCCCTGTCCCAGGAGCAGGCTCTCCGAAGGACTGGCCCATCTTCCAGGCACCCCAGAGCCCATGCTTCCCCGCTCTCACTGGCAGACGGGGCAGGGCCTTCCTTGGACCAGCCTGTCGGGCACCCGCATTTTAGAGCATATCCCTGCTGGCTAAGTGGCTGGCCACAAGCAGTCTATGGACCTAGGACTTGAACCCGCCTCCGTCTCTCCTTCCTGCCCAGCCGCCCAGCCCCATGGGCTCCATTACCCTCCCTGTCTCTGCAGGTTTCTGCTCAAATGACTTGGCATTGGAGTCTGGGCATCGGGGCAGTTTGAACTCTGCCTCTGGCACGGATGAAGGAAAAGCAAATTAAAATGTTTTTATTCCTCCACTTTCGAAGGAAAAAAACAGGCCAGACTTCTCTGTTCTGAGCAGCCCCTGCAGGAAAGCCCATAATCCTCTCTCGCAGGGGTCTCCAACCTTGGCAACTTCATGACGTGTGGACTGCAACTCCGAGAATTCCCCAGCCTACATGCGCTGGCAGGGGAATTCTGGGAGTTGAGGTCCTCACGTGTTAAAGTTGCCACACGTCTTAGAGACCCCTGCTGTTTTGAACCAGCGTACAAGCAGGTTTGCACTTTGCACATGCTCCGGTCAGCTCCCACATCCCGAAGTAAAGTTACTCCGTTCTGATTTCAGCAGAGAAGCCTCCAGGGGGTGGGTTGGGGGGGTGACACTGGGCAGGAGTTCCCAGGAGGAGACTTGAACCCGGGTCCCCCAGTTCCCAGCCTTTGCGCCACTGATTCAGGCAGAGCTGCCAGGCCTGATGGGGTCAGCAAAGAGCCACAGCTCCCTCTGGTGGGCAAGAGGAGGAACTCCTTGCCCACTAAGGTCTGGCTCTCAGGAGGGGAGGGAAATCGGGCGGGTGGAATTGGGGGGTGGTCTTCCTAGCCAGCCCCCCCCCCCACAGGCCCTCAGCCCCATGGACCACCAGATCCACGAGTCGCTGGAGGCATCCAGAGAGGCCTGGCAACGTATCTCCTGTGTGAGTTACGCTCTGGAGGGCTCCTGGTTTACAAGGTAAGTGGGGTGCCCCTAAGTCCACCAGACACACACACACACACACACACACACCCAGTGCCCAGTGGCTTCCTCCAGCACCTGGAAGCAAATTCTGCTGCTTTCCCTGCCCTGCCAGCTGTTTTTTCTTCCCTTTTGCATCTGCAGCTACGGACTCTTCCAAAGGGGGCGGAAGTCCATGAGCCCCCAATTCCGGTTTTGCACCTGGATTTTGCTACTCATTTTTTGCTCTCTCCCCAGAAATAAGCCAAAAAGGGGTACAGCTAATTCTTGACCTAAAACCGTTGGTTTAATGATCACCGGAAGCTACGATGCCGCTGGAAAAAATGATCTGCAGCTGGTCCTGGCAGTGGCTCCCCCAGGGATCGGGCGGTCCGAATGGGGCAGGCATTTGCTGATGGCTGCAGCCCCCTGAGGCCACCTGGTCGCCCCCGGCAGCCTCCCCAACTGGCTTCAGGCAAGCAAAGCCAACGGGGGAAGCTGGATTCGCTTAATGACTGTGTGATTCGCTTAACAACCGCAGGGTTTCAATAACCGAGGTGGCGAAACCAGGCAACCGCCTTCCTTGTTTAGCAACAGACATTTTGATCCCAGATACGTTCGAGGCGAGAAACGCTTGTCATCAACCTGACCAGGTTAGGAAAAAAAACCCCAACTTCCCTTTGAAGAAAAGAAAGTTCCCCAAAGGGGGAAGGAAGCCGGGGCTAAAAAACGCTTCCCTCCCTGCCGCCTGCAGTTGCCCTCCCAGCCTTCCGAGCCCTGCAGCCCCAGAGGCTGGGAAAACAGGCAGCCCCACGCAGGGAAAGCTGCCCGCCTTGGCACCCCCCCCCCGAGAAAGCAGGGCCGGGGTTCACGCACCCCCTCCCCAAAAAATCTTTCAGCAGCTCAGCTCCCCTTTTCTTCTGGATTCCTCTGCTTTAGTTCCCGATTCCTTCCAGCCCCTCCCCTCCCTGCCCGTCTCTCCTGGGGTTCTGTCAGCTGCCAGGAACTCCCTCGGGGGCTGCTGCCGGCGAGCCTTGAACTCAGCTCCCGGGACTCAGGGCTTTGAGGTGGGGGCCTCTCTGTCCCCTGGGCCCCCCACAGCTCAAGTGCAGATTTAGCCCCTTCCCCCCTCTGCCATTTGGGTCTTTCGGGAAACGCCTCTCAAAAACCTCCATGTCTGTTAGGGGGGTTCCCAGCCCTCCGGCTCAGGGCCGTCCCGACGACGACAACGGGGCTTTTTGGTTTTCCTCGAAAAAGGAAGAAAACTCCAGTCGCCTTTTGGAAAAGCACCTTTGGGCTTACGGCAGTGTTTCTCAACCTGGACCATTTTAAGGCATGTGGACTTCAACTCCCAGAATTCCACAGCCAGCATTACTGGCTGTGGAATTCTGGGAGTTGAAGTCCACATGCCTTAAAATGGTCAAGGTTGAGAAACACTGGCTTATGGTTTTATAGAAGCGGCTTCTACAGACGGCTGCGTAAAAATTCTGATTGTGATGTTGCTATTTTCTACAGTGCTAAAGAGAGTTGGAAGTTGGTTCCTGTTTCTTTTCTCACACTCTTTTTTTTTCTAGTTTTCTACTACTTTTTTAATTTTTCTTTGTGTTTTATATTTTGACAAATCAATAAAATTATTATTAAAAAAAAAGAATGAAAAGGAGAGAGAGAGAGAGAGACCCAGATTTTCTGGAGTGGCTCTTAAAAATAAACACTGCACAGGAATCGAGAGGAGGGGGCTGGGTGTTGTGGTCTGGGAAGGGGGTGGACAAGGGATGGTATTAGCGCCCCCCCTCCCTTTGGCAGTCAGCCCCCACCCCACCACTAAATAGCATCATTTAGGGAAAAACGAGAAGCCTCCAGGTCCGTGGGAGAACAACTCCTGAATGTGCAGCCAGCATTCTGGGAGATGTAGTACAAAACCCAGAGGGCTGTGGGATGGACAGGCTCCACCCCTCCCCGGGGCTGGAAGGGGGTGGGGCAAAGGGGAGGGGGAGGGGGGAAGGGGCGCAGCCTGCCCTACCTCTCCCGCACGAAGTCCGCCAGCTCCTTGGCCGAGATTTGCCCATGTTTCATGTTGTGATAGAGGACATCGAAACCCTGGTTCTTCTCTCCCTGCAGGGGAACCCAGACAAGAAAGTGAGGGGGGGGCACACTAGGATTGGGGGTCTTCCCAGCTTCTCCTGGTGGCCCCCCTGCCACCAGGCCCCTCCCAAGGCTGAGCTCTCCACCAACCTGCAGGCAAGCAACAGGGGCAGCTGCCCAGGCCCAGGGGCTGCGGGGGGGGAGAGGAAGGAACCCCCCCAGCCCACTGATGGAGCACGGCTGGCTGGGGAATTCTGGGAGTCGGAGTCCGTGCACCTTCCAGCTGCCAAGGCTGAGGGACCCCGTGGCAGAGGCCGGGCTGCCCGCCCCCAAGCTCTGTGTGAGTACAGGTGCCCCCTTCCCCAGCTATGAGCCAAGAGGGAAGGCATGGTTTGGGGGTGGGCTGCCAAACAGTAAGGGGGGGATCTCCCTCCCCAGAGATTTCAAGAGGGAGATTGAGTGTGGGGTTTCTGCTCCTCTTTAAGAATTTGGGGGCCCCCAGGACCACTGCAATAGGTACCCCACTGTTATCAGCCACTTCCCAAGGACACCCTAAAAGAAAGAGGCTGGGGGGGGACTGAGGGGCTGGGAGGGTCTTCTGCATATTCAGAGTCCCCTGCTGAGAGCTGGCACAGGGCGGCTTCCCCCAAGCCCCCACGGGGGCCTGCCCCATGGCCCTGGCCCTGCCTTCCCCTCCCCAGAGCAGCCAGACTGGGGCCCCCATGCCAGCCAGTGCCAGCCACTCGGCAAAGGCCACTGCTGTGGCACCACGGAAAGAGCCCAGGGCCGGGAGGCCAGGCGGCACCTGCTGGGTGCCCCGGGAGTGGGCAGGGCGGACACAGGCGGTGGGCACAGCCAGGTCCCAGGAGGCTCCGGGGCCGAGGGCCGAATCGGGGCTGTTTTGGCCAGTTAAAGATGAAAGGCACGTAACTGGCGGGGGGAGGGTGAGAACAGCTCCTGCCCGCTGGGCATCAGGGCTGTCCTTGGGGCGTTTCCCTGGGAAAGAGGAGCGGAACTCCCAGTCTGGAGATGAGCACCAAATTCCCCAAATCCCAAGGAAAATCGGAGCCAAAATGCCGGCTTGGAATGTGGAAAAGGCTTCCCAGCGCAGCCCCCACCCAGCCTCAGCAGCCAGCCTGGGGGCAGGCAGAGCAAGGGCGCCCCCCACCCTCTCAGCTGAGGCCAGGTCACCCCCCCTCCAACGTGGGGGGCTCAGGGCTGGGGCCACTGAAGGCATGCAAGCAATGCCCCCCCGCCCAACACGGCTCACTTCCTGCCCCAAAGTCAGGTGCCCTCCCCTCCCAGGCCCTGCCTGCCCCCCTCCCTCCCTCCCTCCCATTTTCCTGCCAGCCACTTTTGGTGGCAGGGGCTCCAAGGAGGAGGCTCCGGGTGCAAATCAACCCATGTGGACTCAATTCGGGCCCCGATCTTCTTCCCGTCTGCTTTCCAGTTGATCAGCGTCCTTCCTCGCAGGGGGGCCCCGACCAGCGCAGAGCAGGAGGGTGACCCCCCCACCCAATTCCCCGGACACAGCCCAGGACTGGCTCGCTGCCCCCTCCCCCCCGCTTGCTTCTTCCTCCCCAAAGGGAGAGCAAAAACCTTCCCCCTCCCCGGCCCTCCCTGGCCTTCCCCTGGGGCCTCTTTCTATTTCCTTTTTCTGAAAAGTCCCAGACTGGCCACCGTGATTATCAGGAAAGGGTTTTCTTCCCATCAGTGAGAACTAGAAACTTGCTTGAGGCCCCTGCACGAGGCTCCGTGGGGCACAGGATGTGGGGAGAGTTTCAGAGCCCAGGCGGCCTCAGGGCGTGGCGTGGCATCCCACGTGGCGATGGAGGGCGCCTCCCTCTCTCGGGGCGGGGGCTGCCCACAGCTGCCTTCCTGGGCCTGGAGGCTGCCATAGGGCGGGTGGGGCCACCCTGCTGTGGCTCCACGAGACCCCCACGAGGGTCCCCTTTTCCCCTCAGGAGGGGAGGGAGCTTTCCGGGCAGCCACGAGGGGGTCCCCAGAGAGGATCCACAGCCCTCCATAGGGCTGGAGGGGTGCGTGTGAAGCCCAGTCCCTCCAGCCAGCAATCGGGGTCTCTGCCAGTCACCACACGCCAAACCCCACTTGCTGAAGTGCATCAGGCCAGCCTCGCCAGGGCTTTGGGGTCTGCCGGGGGCCCAGCTTACTCCCAACGGCCTCCCCAGCTCAGTTTGCCCCCCCTTCACTGGAAGAGCCTCAGGGCTCGCCAAGGCCTTGGCACTGCCAGCCTGGGGCAACAGCTGCTGTGGGAGGGCACAAAGACGAGGGGGGCTCCTTACCCAGAAGTGCTCCGCAAAGTAAGACATGGTCGGGGGTGGGGCGGTCTGCCCTCTTTCAGCTCCTGGGAACCTGGGGGAGGAAGACTTGGGTGAGGCCGGGGGTCTCCAAGGGGGGTGCCCAGAAGTGCTCCAGGCCTCCTCCCCCGGGGCCCCCAAGGCAAAGCAGCCAGGGCAGGGAGACCCGGTTGGCTGCTGCTGGGATGCTGCAGGATCACCCCAGGCCTCCTGCCCCCCCCGCCCAGACAAAGCCCCCTCCCCCAGGAGTGCTCCCACAAGGAAGGGGCCCCTGCTGAAGGGGGACCGCTGCTGGTGGAGGGTTCAGAGGAGGCCCATCTGCGTCCAGGGGGCTGCAACATCCCACCCCCATACTCTGCCCCTCCCCCTTCTCGCCCACCCCCCTGCACCCGTCCTTGCTCCTCTGGGGGCCCCCTTCTCCCGGGGCGTCTCAGGGCCTCCGAGGGCCCTCAGGGCTGCAATTGGTGGCCAGGGAGAAGCAGTGTGTGTGTGGGGGTGGGCTGGCCTAGCATCCCTGCCTCCATGGTTCCACCTCCTGCCACAGGAAAGGGGGCAGAGGCAGCCCGTTGGGCATCAGCGCCCGATCCTTCCCTCACCCCCCTCGGCTCCCCCTGGGCACCCTAGCGGGCCACCGCCTGCAGTCGGGGGGGGGGCATTACTGGGGTTGCACCCGGCAATGCAGGCAGGAGCAAAAACAGGAAGTACTCGGAAGACGCCATCTTGTTTTTTTCCACTTTAAATGGGGGGGTGGCATCTTTCTGGCCCCCCCAGCCGCCCCTCCCCCACCCTGTATCTTCCAAGCGTGGCTGGCAGTGGCATCCTGGCTCGGCCCCCTCCAGCCCCCCCAGCCTTGAGGGAGGGGGCTTTAGCTACTCGCCTGCGGCTGGGTCATGCTCTCGCCGGCAGCTGGCAGAAACCGACCGGACCGTCTCCCTGGGGGGGCAAGCAGAGAGGAAATGGGGGGGCAGCCAGGTGGGGGCTGAAAAGCTACTTCCTGAGAGTGGAGTTTCCTCCTTCGGCTTTGCAGCTGCCCCGTGGGCTTCCCTTCCCCAGCAACCCCCCCTCAGCCCCCAAGCCCCTGGATGGGGAGGGGGGCTTTGCTCAAGCCTGGGAGGGGCTGATTTTTTATCCCGTCTTTATTATTTTTATAAACAACTCAAGGCAGCAACTAATGCACCTTCCTATTTTCCTCACCACAACAACCCTGTCAGGTGGGACGGGCTGAGGAAGTGACCCGGCTTTCATGCCTAAAGCAGGACTAGAACTCCCAGCCTCCCACTTTCTAGCCTGGTGCCTTCCCCACTAGACTGGACGGGCTCCGCAGAGGGCCTGCCCCGGAGGCTGTGGCACATGGGTAGTTGTGGCCGGCCTCTTTTGGCCTCTCGGGGAGGGCGATGCCTGGCGGTTGGGTCGGAGGCCTCCCTGTCTCGCCATGTCTCCCATGGGGAGGGGGCTCCTTCTCCAGTTCAAGCTGGCCCAACTGGGGGGGAACCCTGTCACAATGAGGGCTGGTCACTTTGCGGGGGGGGGCACTTAGCAGCGGAGCAGTTCCAGGACCGAGGAAGGGGCATTTTACGGGAAGAGGTCAAAAGCCTGCGGGGGAGGGGCAGATGGTCCCTGGCAACGAGATCCGTCCTCCACATTTACTCCACCTTCACTGCTCTTTCCACGCGTTTTGTGATTTTTACATTCCTTAATTTTTTTAAAAAAAATCTCTCTCTTCCCCCTCTGAGTTTCACCCCCCCATTGGATCCTGGGGGTGGGGGCGGAAAGGCGGCTCAGAGGCCCTTCGGAGAATGCCAACGCCAAGGCTGCTGGTCAGCTGGTGTTGGAAGCCACACACACCCCCCATCGATGTGGAGGGACAGACGGAGGGAGGGCAGTTGGGTTCATCGAGGGGGGCTGGGGGTCTTTCCATAGCGGCCGCTGGTGGACACTCTGGAGCCAGACCCCCGTGGCCAGAGAGGAGGAGAGGTCGCCCTGCGGGGGACCCTCCCAGCCACAAGTCCCCAAAGGGGGGCGGACCTCCAGCTGCCCACTTGCCCCCGAGTCGTGGCACCTGGGCCACCCAAAGGCAGAGCTGCAGGTGGATTCTACCCCTCCGTTCTCCCCCCCCCTGAAAGGGCAAAGCCAGCGCTCCCATTGGCTGCCTAGGGCACAGGCCCCGGGGGTGGGGCAGCCCCTGCTCTTGGAAACACAGCCCCCTCCCCACAAAGCGTGCCCACTCTGGGATCTGTGGTTCCCCCTTCGTTTATGCCGACTCTCAGAGAGCTGCCTTAAGGCCACGGCCGCAGCACAACCAAGTCGCTAAAAGAACAGCACAACAGCACAAGGGAGCCCAAAGTGCGTGTCCGGAGCCTTCCTGAGCCATGTGGGGGCCAGATTCACCAGGCCACTCCAGGGGGGGCTGCCTTTGGGGGGGGCACCTGGCCTGGCAAAGCAGGTGAAGCGCTGCCCGTAGGTAGGTCCACGTAGCCGTCCTCCCTGCAAGGCTGCCCCAAGCAGACCTACACGTTGTGCCCGGAAGCCTCCTGGATGACAAGCGGTACTTGCGGTGGGGAGGGAGAGTCTGGGGGCTGTAGCAGCTCTTAAACACCCCCTCTCCCCCCCCAAGCCAGCAGGCGGCGGCTTTCTGCAACCACATCACTTTAGGAGCAGCCCCATGGAAGTGCCCTGCGGGGATGATGGAGGCCAAGCCGAGGGACAGCCGGGCCCCCTTGCTGGGCCCCGAAATGGCCGGCCACCCGAGGCCATTCAGCCCAACATCTGGAGCATGAAAACAGAATAACAGAGCAGGAAGGGACCTCGGAGGTCTTCTAGTCTGACCCCCCGCTCAAGCAGGAGACCCTATGCCATCGCGGAGAAGCGGCTGTCCAACCTCTTCTCAAAAGCCTCCACTGTTGCAACAGCCACGACCCCCGAAGGCAGCTTCTGTCCCACTGGCTGGTTGTCCTCCCTGTCAGGAAGTTTCTCCTTGCTTCCCTCCCTCCCGGGTTAGTTCCCACCCACCCGCGGCTTCTCGTCTTGCCCTCCGAGGGGGGAGTGGGGGAGGGGGCAGAGAGGGTGCCAGGGATGCCTCTGCCAAGCCACCAGGCCCGTGTTTACATTCTGGGAAAAGAGGAATCCAGAGAGACGGGCACTGAGGGGGGGAGAGGGCTGGACTAGATGATCTCCAGGACACCCTCCAGGCCTTCATCCCATCGGTTGTCAAAGGCCCAGAGGAGGGAAACAGTGATGGAGGGGGATGTGTGCCAGGCAAGGGGGATGGAGGGGGAGGTGTGCCAGGAGAAGAGCTCTCGGGCAGAGGGGTGCAGCCCCCTTCCCTGGGGGGGGGTCTTCAGGGGGAGGCTGTGCAGCCTTCAGTCAGAAAAGTGTTAATGGGCTAAAGTTTGCGTGGAATTATTTTAAGTCCCCTCACCAGACTGGATGGGTTTTCCGCTTCATGCAAGCAGGAACCAGGCGCCCCAACTGGGGGGAGGGTCTGGTTGTGGCCTTTGTGCCACGGTGCCCATCGGGGCAACGCTGCAGCCAACAGCCACGATGCCGCCCACCTGGGCTGGCTCCGGACGCAGCCTGGCACCGCAGCACCCTTGCTCTCCACTGGGACGGCTCTCCCGCCAGCAGCAGAGGCCCGGGGGGGGGGGCTTCAGGCCACCGGAAACGCCACGTGAATCAGGGCCGGCGGCACAAGAGGCCCGTTCTGGAGAGCGTCCTTGTTCCCTGGACGGTCCCTGCCCGAACGGAGGACCACGGAGAGGAAGGGCCCCACTTGAAAGGCTGCCACCTGGCAACCCCCTGGCCAAGCTCCGAGGGGCCCCGGGGCCGGTTCAGAGCAAGGGGGCAGGCAGGGTGCCTGGCCGGGCTCTCCTGCCTCCTGCCACCCCCCTGGGCTCCTCAGCCGTGGAGGAGAAGTGCCACCAAACCTGGAAGGTCAGCGGGGTTGATGCCACGGCTCCTCTGGGTTTTGTCCACTGGAGGCTGCCACAAACCGTGGCTCAGGGGCCACAGTCTCCCTGTCCTGCCAACCGGCTCCCTCTCGGCAGGTATCTCTTCCTGCCACCAGGCAGAGGCTGGGACGGGCGGAGGGGGGCAGAGGATGGCTGAAGGGTGGCTGTGGGTGCAGCTGGGCCTTCCCCCCCCCCAGACAGGCAGCCGTGGCCAAAGGCTCTCTAAGCAACACTTTCTCCCAGGGACGCCCTGGACTCGTTGCTGGGCGGGCAGAGCTGCGGGGGGGGGGCAGAGGGCAAAAGCCTGGCCCAGCACTTGCAGCCGCACAGTGCCCCCCCCAACGGAGACGCAGCAATGGGAGGGGCACCGTCTCCACCCAGCCAGAAGAGCCCAGAAGCTAAGCAATGCTCCAATGCAGAAGCAACGGTGGCCCTGCTTCCCCCCCCCTCGCCTCCATCCATGGGGCCAAGCAGGAGTTTCACCCTCCCCACACACAAAACCTGACTCAGAGACAGTTCGTGGGGGGGGGACGCTGCTCCAGTGCTCCTCAAAGTTTCCGATGGAGGAGAACTCCCAGCTCCCCAGAGGAGGAGGAGGAGGAGGGGGGCTCCAGGAGAAGCAGGGAGGGCCCAGAGGGGCTTTTTGAGGGCAGCCGCTCCCTCCTGCCCGACCTCCAGAGCAGACTGCCCCTGTACATGGAGGCTCTGCTAATCAGCCCTAAGCCCTAAGTGTCCTTCAGGGTGCAAAGGGCACTTTCTGGCAGGGCCTGTCTGGCAGGCATGGAGCTCCTTCCCTCCCTCCCTCCCTCCCTCCGGGCCTGTTTCCAACATGTGGCATGTTACGCACCCACAACACACAACTCCGTTTCCAGCCCAAAAAGCCCCCACTCTCCTAAAGGAAGCATCTCCGAGGCAGCAGAAGGACGGCGCTTTTTGATCGGCCTTTCCAGATGAAAGAGCCGGCAAGGACCCTTCCCTTGCCCGACCCCGCGGCCAGCAGCACCGGGACCGTCGGCAGAGCCTGAGCGCCAGGCCGGGGGGGGGGCCGTGGACGGGCTGGGGAGG